TATTGCATACAAAAAGAAACAGAGACAGGAATCGTATGTTTACCTCAGTGTTTGACGTTGTTGTTCTTGAGTTCTAAACCAGTCTTCAAAGCTTTACACAAAAATCACAAGAAATGAGCGAAACAATTAAGTAAAAAAAAATACATTTTTAAAACTAGATCATTTGTTAAAATTGTGTTATGAAATTATTTCTGATTTGTAAATAAACTCGAAATATATACTGCGAAAGCTTATTAGGAAGACTAGTTTTGTTTTAGGGAGCCCCCTACTACATGCTAGGTGCACAAAAAGAGTTCTAATATTGATCCTTGCTTTAGGCTGCTCACAGACTTTATAATCTTCATGGACCCAAGAAATTATCCTTTCTATGCTATTAGTATCATGTTTAGCACGTGGTTTTGTGCAGTATGGGGTTAAGTCCACAGTCCTTCCTGCTACTTGCACAGTTTTTAAATGATCAATTAGTATTTTCTAAATCCATGCTGTTTTTTCAGCTTTTCAGTATTTTCTCTTTGCAGTTAAATTTTTTTAATTTTTTTTAACTTTTGATATTTCATAGTCTTGTGAGTATCTCTATGCTTTCATTACCTTTTCCATTGCTCATGGTGGTACATAAAAGGGCATATAAATTCTTTCCTTTTCAGCTCTTTGGTACATTATCCTCCGTAATAAGCTGCAAGCTGTAATTTAGCACTGACACTTTACTGAAAAGCCAGGTTTCACACAACTTCCTTATTTAGTCCTTATTTACTCCCAACTTTTCAAGCTGTTCTGTGCATATTAGTTTGTAACCATTTTTTTCAGATGATATAAATTAAAAACATATAAAACTCAGTCTTTGGTTAATATTTGTAGCTTTTACATTTACAAACACTTGAATAAGTAAAATACCTAACTATCTGACTAACCTATAAAACCTTAAAATAAATATGAAATTCCTATTTTCTTAATACACTGTTTTGTATTTTCAAGATTATAATGATTTTTTGAAAATAAAACATTATAAACTTTTCATTATTCAATTCTCCAAATTGAATTACATTTATCTGATTATCTTACCTCGAGTCGAGTTCCTCGTCGAAGGACGACATTCTGTATTTAACCAAATACCCTGGATGTATTTCTAGATAAAATGAACATGAAGTTAGACAACTATCTACCACTGTCAAATACTTAGAAAAAATATTACAAAATAAAGTAGGCTTATCCTGAATCGTATGTTCATATGATACTTTCACTTGTTTTCAGCAACTTAATATCCAAGGCTTGTGCTGTTTTCATTAAGGTTCTTGAATTTTGCAAACTTGTTTGACCATTAAAGCTCTAGTATTGTTTTGAGAATTTTTACTAAAGAGGTATTTAGTTTATTTGATAAAATTAATTGACAAACCTTTGTTTCCTCTGTGCTTATATAATCTCTATATAGGTCATGTTATCTTCTGAAATAGCTGACATATTTACCTGTACTTGCCTTTAATTTGTCCAATGTTCTTCTTCCTTGTTCTTCCCTCGCTCAGAGTCAGTGTGTTGAGTTAGAGTGATAATCTCTCTATTTCACTGAAGGGGAAGGACCTGAAGGCAGCCCTGCCCACTTGGACGATATATTCATATAAACTGAACAATCTAACTCTCAGTACTTTTTTCTTCAGCACAGCCAGAAAGATCTGTGTCCACCATGGGAGACGCTTTCATCATAGCCATAGACTTTGGCACTGCCTACAGTGGATATGCCTTCAGTATAACATCCAGAGATGAAGAAACTGATCCCTTTTTAAAAGTTTGGGGTCAAGAGGTTGGACTGGAAACCCCAAAGGCTCCTACCTGCATCCTATTCGATGAACATGAAGAGTTTGTCAGCTTTGGTTACGAAGCTAAAGAAATGTATCTTACAAAAAAGGGTCATGAAGCCAGGGAGCAGTACTTCTTTAACTGCTTTAAGATGGCCCTCTATGGAAAAGTAAGTACAATCTGCATAAATTTTAAAGAAAGATAGGACAATTAATACTTTTGTGCCTGTGGTTACAAAGTTCTAATATTCATAGCAGTATACTATTATACTTATGTTCGGCTCAGATGTCAGAAAAAAATTAAGACTATCGGAGTTTGGCAAGTGTTCAAGTCAAAAGCAGGTGCACATAATGCAATGATTTATACTCACCAGAAAATCACCAGGAATCTGAAGATTAAAGCAGCTAACGGAAAAGAAATGACGGCAATGAAAGTTTTTACAGAAGCACTGAGATTCCTGAAGGACGACGCTTTACAATATATTGCAACAAACACAGAGGGGAGGAAGTTCACAGCCTCTGATTTCACCTGGGTGCTGACTGTTCCTGCCATCTGGGATCATTCTGCAAAACAATTTATGAGAGAAGCTGCAACTCAGGTAACTAACAACCTAAACTCAAACCACCAAAAAACAGTTTTTAATTTATCTAAATAGATAATAAATATTAGTTGTCTAATTTCTCTTAGGCAGGTATTGTGCCCAAAGGAAACTCTGACCAACTAGTCATTGCCCTGGAACCAGAAGCAGCCTCAGTCTTCTGTAAAAGGCTTCCATCTGATGGTTTCATAGCCGAAAACAGAGGAGAAGACAAACTAGACCAATCTCCAGGAACTCAGTACATTATTGTTGACTGTGGAGGTAAAATATTTCATTTAATATTTCCATTACATACAGTAATAGAAAAGAATATCTTCTCTGCAAAATTCTATTACATTACAAAATTCTATTTTACTAAAATATATGGAAATTAGGATTTTTCAAGCTGTTAATTTTTTTAAGTATTTATTTTTTATGTTTAGGTGTAGTACCTCTGTTCTTTAAAAAAAAAAAAAGCTTAAGAAAAATGAATTAAAGGGTGGCAAATACGTACAGCATATTTAGAGTTAACCCTGTATTAGGAGATAAACATTTAAACCCTGTAAATCAGTGAGCTAGGAAACTTCCCACTTCAGTTTTTTAAACCCTGAACAGAGAGTAGGACCAACCATTTGAACTTCCAGCTAAAGCACAGACTCTGGGCTAATAACCTCATTACCTGAATAGATTGAAGGGACAATTTTTTTATCATCTTGACCTGAATAATGGATCCCTGCTTTTACCATATCACCATGTGGCTTGCTGCACTGTGTCAGCAACATTGCAATTCTTTTTTTTCCTTTTTTTTTTTTTTTGCGGTTGACGTGGCCAAGACCTAGAACAGGAGCTAGGGCGGTTTTGCAACCAAGGGTGAAGTGGCCTGGATGATAATCCGCTTCTCCAAGTGTGAGGCCATGGTTCTCGCCTGGCACTGTAAATGGTGGCTTGCCCCCTTCAGGTTGGAGAAGAGGTTCTGCCTCAAGTGGAGGAATTAAAGTATCTTAAAAAAACTTTTTTTTTTTAAAAACAGCAACGGAACGGGGAGCTGTGGATCTGCAGATGCTGCAGGGGTGAGTGGAGCATCCCCCATAACTGGCACTGTGGTGAATAAGAGGAATGATAATTAGAGAGCGGGGAGGGAACGGCAGGTGAATGAAGTTAGTAATTAGATCAGCTGCCGGGCTGCAATCATGACACATGTATGTCACAAGTACTCCATGTGAACCTGCTCTCATCTGTGAAGAGCAAATAGGGTACCAATGATAAATCTGCCATTATTGTTGTTTTCTGGCAAGTTCCAAACTTGCAGGAGTTTACTTACAGCTAAACACTTTGAGACGCCAGTCCCTCATACCACCCTCATGCGCTATTTTTCTTACAGTATAAGCATTTGCATTAGTGGCCTTCTGGAGGTAATTTTGAGGGCGTTGGCAGTGCTCCTCCTATTCCTTTAAGAAATAGTTCTGCTGGTGGGTGGTTGCTCTCCTACAGTCTCCATGTCAACTTTTTATCGTAAAGGTGTGGTTCTTGAGAACCCTGGGTGATTTTGAAGTGTTTGAAGCAGTAGGGGACTTCTCATAGCTCAAGTGACTTGATGAAGATCTGAGTATACAGGTGCTGGTCATAAAATTAGAATATCATGAAAAAGTAGATTGATTTCAGTAATTCCATTTAAAAAGTGAAACTTGTATATTATATTC